CCCCAAAACCCCAAAACCCCAAAACCCCTTATATCAATATTTTGATTGAATTACATCATGTTATTTCTTGCCTCTTTTCCCATGATGTCTTCCTTAATCTGTGAGATTTCTTGTTCAACTATTTTATTGATTGAGGTACCAGCTGCTTTGCCTTGTACGATTGATTTTGCCTTTGCAATAATTTCACTTTGTGACATAGTCACACTCTTGTTAGATGCCTTTTCTTCTTTTGCAACTCTGAAGTTATTATCTTCTTTTGAGTCTGTGGAGCTTGCACCTTGGTTTGAGAGAAGTGAATTCAGTGAGAATTCCATCATAGCTGTTTTGTTTTCCATTGCCAAGACTTTTCCAACAATGTTTATAATATCTCTTTCTGCATCTAATGCTTTTAGTTCATACATAAATCTTCTTTTCATGTCTTTAGAGGATCCTCCTCTATTAGATCCACTTCTGCAGCAACATAAGTCTTTAAAAGTATAATATTTAGCTGGCATTCGTGATTGCGCCTGAGATACTGAGTTAGGCTGCTGCTTAATTTGAGCAGAGCCTCCTGGATTTTCCTGAATAACAGCTTGAGCCCTTCCTACTGGCTGCATTACTTGAGAGCCCCCTTCATTGATCATCCCATTATGCTTTTTAGAGTTGTGTTGCTTTACCTCTTCCCCTCCATCGTTCATCAAGAGTTGATTCTCTGCAACACTGCTTCTCATGTCTTGATTTATCTTTTGCTCTAGAGCAGTACCTCCTTTCAAATGTAGGGCCTTCTTGAGATTCTTGAGTGAGGCTCTATTTTGTTCTTCTTTTGATTGAATAAAGCTGAGTCCTTTTTGATTTGCTAGATGAGCATCGTTCACGATATCTATCTCGAACATTCTGTTAATGAGAGGCCTGATGAGTAAACCAGCTATCAACATTAGAAAAGAGTAGAGTCCACCCATGTTGGAGACCATGTACAAAATTTTATAATAAATGGCCATCTCTCTTGTTTCTACCTTAGTTTTAGAGGTGGTAGTAGTAGTTGTAGTTCCATCAGCATTTGTTACCGTATTTAAATTTCTGCTCGATGGAACAGTCCAAAGAAGGCTAGGCACCTCTTCAATATGATGGCTATATTTTGGTTAGAAAACATTTTGAAAACCATTATCGCTGATAGATGATACCATAATTTTATTTAGAGTAAAAGGTTTATAAGTTTATTTAAATTCGAATTTTTCTTAAAATCTTCTTTGATGAATAAAGCTTTAATAAAAATAGTTAGTAGTAACACTTCCAAACTTTTATGAACTGTTTTATAAAGGAAATAAACGAAGATATGCTACTTACATTGTATCGTGAGCTTGGAACATAAACATGAATGAATACGTATCAGTCTTGTAAACATTAGAGTAAGTTTTCCTCTCTAAACTGTAGAATTTTTCTACTCTTCCATCTAAGGCCTTAACTATCGTTTCTTTTATAGTCAGAAAGGCTTCAGAGCTATCCCAGTACGATGAATAATATTTTGTTTTACGGAATCGATAGCCAATAGAAGGATTTGCAAAAGGAATGTAGTATCCGTCGACAGAGAATATAGTCATTGAAATTCCATCCCAATATCCATTCTGATGGCCTCAATCATCTCATGGAGCATTTGACAAAACTGAAGCGAGAAAGTAAGGACTTGAATGTAATTGATTGCCTTTAAATGAAATATCAGCATTGTTATCAATGCAAACACAAAACCCAAGATAGTTTGCATTGAACTCAGCTTCAAGAGATTCATGAAACATAGATGCTGTTCAAGGAACTATCCCAGCAAGACCTAAACCTGCAGAGTTTGCATATAGAGTACTTAATGCTGCATATTGTTCAGCATCGTATGGCCTATTGAGTCAGAAGGCCATATTAAAACCTGATTGGAAAGGCAAAATCTCCCTAGTAGAGGTGATAGCTGAATCAACTTCGTCCCATTCTTCAATCCAGTAATCCATATTGGCTTCTATATCACTATAAACTGTTTGAGGAGTTCCTCCATCATATAATATAGGATCTTGAGTTTGGCCTAACTGTCTTCTTGTCGGTCAGTTTGTCGTTTTAGTTGTCACGTCAGCGCTGGTTTCAGGTTCAATAGGTTCGATAATCATGACAACCAAAAATCCAACAACAATAGCAAGGATAAGTATTTTTACTATACTAGCACACCAGTGTGAATAAATATGCTTTTTGTTTCTGGAGAACCCAACCGGCTGGCTAAAAGCATCAAAGGACTTAATCGCATTTCCTAATGTCTGTCCCATTTTTAATATTATTAACAATATTTATAATAAGATATGGGGTTTTGGGGTTTTGGGGTTTTGGGGTTTTGGGGTTTTGGGGTTTTGGGGTTTTGGGG